CTTTTTAAGTACATAGTTCAATAAGTACATTCATACCATTGTTCACCTACCACCACCATCCAGCTCTTTTTTATCTTATAAAATTGACACTCTGTCCTTTTGAAGCAATAAATCCCCATTGATTGCTTTAGCTACCTCATGTGAGTGGAATCACACAATATTATTCGTCTTTCTGTGTCTGGCATATTTAACTTAGCATAGTGGCTTCAGGGGTTACCCATGAAGCATATAACAGGATTTCCTTTCTTTTTTAAAGTTTGAGTAATATTACATTGTATCATATGCCACATTTTGTTTTTCCATTCATCTGGTAATAGATACTTGGGTTGTTTCCACCCTGTCGTGAGTGATGCCGCTCTAAACGTGCGTGTGCAGATCTTGGCCATTTTTAATCCATTTACAATGGAGTGGACTAAGATGGGAATAAGAAAAATCCTAGTGAAAACACTACCAGTCTCAGCCTCAAGGGGGCAATTGGGATTGAGGGGGCCTGGGGTGAGAGGGGAATGTGGGATATTGGATATATTGATATGGGGCTGATCTGAATGGGCATCGCCATCACTACTGGCAGATGATGGTGCTATGGGAATGAGAGCTAGAGTTTCCCCAATCGCTATTCCAATAGAAATAGGTATTATAGATTTTTGTTTAAAATTTCCCAATTTTTAGATGTTGTACTCTAAACGTGAAAAAAAAATTAAAAGACCACAAGTCAAATAAAATGCCTACCAGCTGTATAATTTGAGATCTCTTACTAAAGCACACTGATCAATAAAGATATGTAAATGATTGATATAAGGGCCTTATCTGTTCCAAAAGTGGAGATGAGAAAGAATTTGTGATCATTTATTATTTATTTTTATTAATTAATGTGACTACTCAACTACTCTGCCATTATAGTCCCAAAGTAGCCAGAGATAGTATGTAAATGAATGGATGTGGCTGTGTCCCAATATATATATTTACAAAAGCATGTGGCCTGCCTTCCATAGTTTGCCTACCCCAGGTGTGGATGAATTAGAGAGGAGGGACATCTGAAGAGAGTTTCAAACTATAATTCAAAAAATAATTACAAAGGACTGGTGGATGATAGGAGGGATTGATTAAATATAGTACATTTAAAACGTTATGCAACTATTTAGAAAAGAATGAGTTAGACCTTTTTGTTCAGCAGCAAATGGCATTTTAAAAAATGGCAGCCCTTTGACATGCCACTTCTCCTGTTAATATAGGATCTGTTCTCTTTGCCATTGAAATTGTGTTTTTGTGCCTGTCATGGCCAACATTATAACAGAAGTAATCCTATGTGAAATTTTGAGGCTGGGGCATACAACAGTGACCACCTTTCTGTTGGGAACACTACCATGTGATCAGTGAACCTCTAGCTTCTACATAATCATTCTGAGGGAGCCCCTCAAATGAGTGAGCCTACACTCAACACATTCAGAAGGATCACATAGAGGGGCCCTGGGATAAGATAAAATCCATGCCAGCCATCTCATTTTCATAACTCCAGCCACCATTTGACTGTGAAAGAGCCAGGTCCCAACCTAGTCCTTCTGGAATCTGTGACCCACAGAAACCATGTGAGAAAATACTAATTGCTATTGTTTGAAGTCACCATTTCAGAGTGATTTGTTATGCCTAGTGAGATAACTGGAACATTGGTGAAGAAAGATGAACAAACTACTCTATTATCAGATGAAATTAAAACAAACGACTACAGTATCTTTATGGAAAGATATACCCCAAACTGTTAAATACTGCCTCTGGGGAATGGAAATGTGGATCCCAGGTGGGTGGGAGATGCATACTTTTCATTTGACATTCAGTGTAATTTGAAGTTTTTACCATGTGTCTATGTGACTTGCTATTTTTTAAGAACTAGTTTAAATTTTAAATAAAGTGGAGAAGGATAAAGTTAAAATTTTCTTAGTTCACAGGATTTTTTTTTAAGCTTCTGATTCCCATTAACTTTGCATCTGCAGAAATCAGAACTATGTGCAGTATATTTTTAGACTTTTCACAAATTCATATGGGTGCAACCAAGGACTTTTTTTTTTTTTTTTTTTGGTACACCAGCTCAGATTTAGAGATAAAAGAATATATTTAATCATGAATAATTTAGAAAGAAAATCTGCTTCCAGAAATAACACAAATCAAAGTCAACACTTCATCTCAATTCATGGTTTTAATTCATTCACCTTAGGCCCCTTTTTTTGAAAGATCATGAGATACAAATTTTAATTTAAAGAACGCAACAGGTTTTTAAGCTATGAAGATCATTATCATTGTCATCCCCAGTCTAATACCCATCATCTTTACTGAAATGTATTAAATGTTTTAATGACATCATTTAAAAGAAACATTTGGTTAATCTTAATGAACTCTTTTTTTAATTCAAATCACATCTGTGTAGAGAGACAGACTTTGTCCTAAAGAAACTGGAGTTTCATAAAAGAATGTTGTACAATCCAATTATTTCTGAATTGGGGAGTTATTTCCTAAATCCCAAAGTTTTATTCCACACTTTTGGCTTTGTCTTTAGTTCTGTGGATCTCAGAAGTGGATGTGATTCTAGTGACATATTCAAGCCTTCTCAATTTACAGATGAAAAACTATGCAAAGGTGATCACCTTGTTAAATTACGGTAAAACAGTGGTTCTCAAACTTGAGTATACATCAAGATCTCTTGGGCAGCTTGTTAAAACACGGGTTGTGAAACCCATCCTCTGGGCTTCTGAATCTGTGGCTTGAGATGGAATCTGAGAATCTACCTTTCAGTCCCTTTTCTGGGTTGATGCTGCTGCTGGTCTGGTGGCCACACTTCGAGAACCACTGTTTTGAAATCACTTTTGTCAGACCAAACTGGGGGATTTCTTTTCCTGTTTTAGCTAAACCGCTTTCAATAGGCTGTTTATTTACTTATTTATTTATTTATTTTTAACCTGATCCTTACTTAGCTGTTCTCTATGTGTTATCTTCCCGAACTTTTCACACATGTACCCCAACATTTGTCCTAAGCTGTTCCAATTTTGTCTTTTCCTTCTCCAAGACTGGAAGTTCTGCCATAAACCAACACAGACACCAATGTTCCTGACATGCTCACATGGAGCTCCCCCACTGCTCTGTTCTTGCTTGTGATCTTGGCTCTGATGCTTGCAGTTGGCCCTCCTGGGGGTATTTGAGTATATTCTCAGATCACTTTATGTGTATACCCACTTCTCTAATGCATTGTAGAAGACATCTCTTGAGCAATTTGTGGTTTGCTGGGCTGACCATCCATGATTTTACTCAAAGGTTTCGAGTAACTTGTTTTAAATAGAGTAACCTTCTGTGGTGACCCTTTAGAACAGGTATATGATTGCCCTTCCTGTCACGGGGACAATACGCCTTGGTATCAACAGATTGTAACCTTGTATGTATTTTGAAAGTGAGCCTAGGCTTGTAAATAAAGCAGGTGAGGATTGAATTACTCAGATGTTGCCCAACAGCAGAGAGTCCAGTTCCATCAGAGTAAGCTGACTCCATTCAACATTTATTGAGGCCTGCTGTGTGTCACATACCAGGCTGAGATTGGAGCACACAAGGGTGAGTAGGCCCGTTGACACAGAGCTGCCAGACAGCCTCACATAATGGTAGCAGGTGTGCACTTTGGAGCAAGTGGGATTCAGTTCAAGTCTCATCTCTATTACTTGTTGGTATGGACAAATATGTTCCCTCATTAAGCTTGAGTTTTTGCCATAAAAGCGAGGGTAAAACACCTCCTTTGCATGTCTGTCCCAAGACTATATAATGTCTTAGTCTGCTTGGGCTTACACAACTATAGACTGAATGTTTTACACAGCAGGAATTTGTTTTCTTATATTTCTGGAGACTGGAAATTTCAAGATCAAGGTCTAGCAGGGTTTCATCAATGGTGAGGGCTCTCATCATGGCTTGTAAATGGCCACTTCTTGCTGTTCACTTATATCATGGCCTTTCCTTGGTGTGTGCACTTGGAGAGAAAGAAAAAGAGGAAGGGAACCCAGAGCGTGTCTCCTTATAAGAGGCATCTTCTCCACTGTGTCCTCTTATATGAGCACTAATCCATCCTGAGGCTCTATCCTCATGACCTAATCTAACCTTGATTACCTCTCAAGGAGCCACCTCCAAATACCACCACATTAGGGATTAGGGCCTCAGCATATGAATTGAGGGCACCACCCAGTCAGCTCACATTTGTGAATTGCTCAGCCAGTTCCTGGGGTTAGAGAATCCCTCTTAGTAACACCTTTTCTCATGGATATTTCCTTCCTTCTTTGGGCTTCTGCTGCCAACTGTCTTAAGACATAGCACTATTGCAGAGACTAGAAAAAACAGTGAATGGTTTTACTGGGGTGGGGGGGTCCTTAAATTTGCATTGTTAGCAACTACTCTTATCAGAAGGTTTAGGGATAAATTTAATTAGCACAAACTTAGACTTTCTTTATTCTGGGAAAATTCCCCAAAAGCTCTCTTGAGTTTAGTATTGATTTTTATTTTATAATACCATAATTACAGTCCAGATGGGGAAGCCCTTGCAGATAGTGCCTCTAAATGGATATTGAAAGGAATTTGAAAATGTGAGAATCTTTAGGCATGTTCTGATGTTACAAGTGGGTGATCCTGTAAATGTGATCTCCAAGTTGATGAAAGTATTAAATATGTTACATATTTCTAAAATTCTGATAATTATTGATCTATTGAAGCAATGTGTCTTTTCTGTTAAGTTGGAAATCTTCACTATGTTCTCTTGTTCAGATTAGTTTAAAAGAGTTGCTTCTGTGTCGTGAATTGATTATTCAGTTAAGGTTGCTTTTACACGTTAAGGGAGTTAAAAATGGGGACATAGGGACAACACGAGAGAGAGGTGGGGGGGAATCACATGCCAAAGGCTCTCAAATGCCTACATCTACCCCAAAATATTTTCATCATGTTTCCATGCATCAGGAAGAATCCTGTTGTTTTAATTTCAACAGAAAACCAAGCCCTTGATGACAGAATTCTCGGTGAAGTCCACCATTATTTCTCGTTACGCCTTCACTACAGTCTCCTGCAGGATGCTGAACAGGGCTTCTGAGGACCAGGATGCTGAGTTCCAGATGCAGATTCCAGCTTCAGCTTTCATCACCAACTTCACCATGTAGGTGGCATGCTGGCGAGAGATGGAGCTCTGTGTGGGGGTGGTCCAGATTTGTGTGTGGGAAGGATTCACATCCCATTAGACGGTGTGTGGATCCGAGGGCTGATTCCCCTTCTTCTTTCCTTCTTTGGTTCCTTCCTGCCAACCTTCCTGACTGCCTTCATCTCTTCCATTCTCCTTTCCTTTCCTCCTTCCTTTTCTTCCTCTTCCTCTTTCTTTCCTATCCCTTTTCCCCTCCTGGTCCACTCTGGGCCAGGCTGTCTTAGGGGTGATTGATTTACTTCTAAAAAAAAAAAAGACCATGTTGCTTGCTCCAGAAATTTCAGCTGGGAGAAATAGTCCATTAGCAAGTAAACAAATAGTCAGTGACATCATCTTGGGCAGTGGGGAGTGTTGTAGTATAAAGATGGCAAACAGGACTGAGAGGGGCTTCCTTAGGAAGGGAAATGAGGGAGGGAGGTGAGAGGGGCCATGGTTAGGTTGAGACCCGAGTGAGACAGTATGAAACCTCTGACATACTAGCTGAGGTTTTTTTTTCTGACTCAAGAGGTAAAAATTGGCAAAACAGGGGAAGCGTTGGGTTTAATTTTGGTCTGGGCAAGAATCGAGTTGGTGAATCTTCATGGACGTTTGAGCAGTTATGATTTTCTCCTGGAGAATCAGAGACACCCTGGGTTGGGTCTTTTGAAAATTGCCCTAGATTGAAATGAATGGTTTAAGGCTAGTGCCCTCGTCTGGAATGCATTTAATCTGCATATCTAAGAGGCAAATAAAAATATTTTCTAGGGTTGTCATGGTTCTGAGAACCATGTTTGAGTCTGTCTTGGAACTGCAAGCTGGTAACATAGCTGTCTCTCATGTTTCAGGATTATTGGAGAAAAGGTGTATCAGGGTGAAATTACAGAAAAAGAGAAGAAAAATGGTGATAAGGTAAAAGGGAAAAGGAATACAACCACAGAAGAAAATGAGTAAGTATTGTTTAATTAGGAATTAAAAATCTGGTTTTACAGTGTCACGTTTTCTACCCCTTGACCTATTTCTTGCTGTCCTCCAAATATTTTTTCTTTTTTTAATCTAAGTAATAAGTACATGTGATTAACAATATAGTAGATGAACATTGGTAATAAAAAAAGTTAACTTTATTACACCGTTCCTTGGTTTTTACTTCCTAGAACATCTGCTTCTAATATTTCTGTGCTGAGTTTTCTTTGTAGTTACCTCCTAACTCTAAAGTGTACGATAGTGTTGCTTTTTCTTGATTTCTTAATAAAAATAAAGATACTATCTCCTGATTGTGAAGAAAGAGGATTTAGCAAATTTACAACAGTCCTACTTTCTCTTTGCGTTCAACATTTCCATATTATTATTTTATTTCTTCTTCCGCTGATGAAGTGTTTCTACTCCCCTAGACTTTCCCTCCTATCTTTATGTGGGGATTGACCCAAGGACCTCATGCATCCCAGGGGAGCACTGAGCTACATTTCCGTCCCTGTCGCTGCTTCCTAAATGATGACATTCCTTTTCTTACCCTTTAGTTTACCTCTACTTATTCATTTCTTGAACTCATCTTTTGTCACGTAATCATTGACTTGTCACATTTTCATTAATGTTATTAACGTTTAAATTCTGATCTATAATGATACTTGTATTCTTTGTAAACTTGAAAAACAAGTATTTATTGAAAATCAGCTATTTACTGAAAGCCAATAAATAGCCTTTGCCTTTCAATTACTATAACAATTACATTAACAGAAGAACAGCCTATCATACACTAATAAGATTACATTTTCCCCTCAACCAGACAAATGTGAAGGCCTCTGTTCCCTTTGCAGAGAAGTGATCTAAGTACCTAGATAAAATTGTCCAAACTTGTAAGCCTGATATTTTTTCTCATTAATAAAAGACATAGCTTTGAGAAAGTTAGTTCTTTAAAATTATAGACTGCCAGGCCTTTGTAGTCAGTTTGTAAGAATGGAACATCTTGCTCTGGTCTAAAAGACCTGAGTCATTTTGATACTGAAAGCAAATGAGGTTCAGAGCTTCAGATAAGGCATTTTCACATGCAGAATTCCACGTTTATCTTAAAGTTACAGTTTCCAAGGACACAGAACTTTGGGTCTCCTTCTTAGTCCAGGCTGATGTTAACAGCCTCACAAGCACCCCTCCTTTGCTTGGTGCCTGTCCAAACTCAGCTTCACTGATTTTTTACCTACACCCTACCCTTCCCCCAATCCCATAATAACCCAGTTTCTGCCTTTGTTTGGTGAGATGCCTTGCAGTGCCTCTGGTATGTGGTCTGTCTTGCTGCAGCAAATTATTAAACCTCACTTTGTATTCTGCAGCTGCTTCCCAGGTTGTCTTTATCAAAATTGTTCAGAGTCACGCCACAGCTTACTTTAGTTGGATCATAACATACAGGTTTCTGTTTTTTTTTTTTTTTTTCTGGAGTTTCTAATTGCCTTCCTCTTATGAGAGAGAACTTAATTTGGTTACTATTAATGTTGAGCAAGACACATAATTCATTTGAAATGAGGACAAAATGAATAGCCATAACCAAGTTTATGGAAGCAATGACATCTACATCATCCAGAAGCCTGGCCAACAGCAATTGGAAGACATCATTGATTGGGAGGCATTCGGATTTCAGAGCCATTAAAACATGCTGTGAAAACATGGCTGTCTCCAGATCCATGGATATTGTTATTCCTTTGAAGCCTCATTACAAAACATTTCCCCTGGAATCACTTTTCATTTTCTTGTGGGTTGCTTTTGTGATTTCTTGGATTCCATATTTTTTCTCTTTCTTGCTTTTTACTTTTACTTTGCTGACATATATTCTGAAGTAACTTCCTCAGAATGTGTGAGGGATAGATTTTCTGAGCCTTCGTAATATTTTATAATATTGTATGGAATCAAAGGTCACAGTGATTTTCCTTTTGAACTCTGGGGTATTGCTTCAAGGCCTTCAACATCTAGTATCATTGCTGTTGTCTTTGGTGTGATCTAGTATCATTGCTTTTACATGTTTTCTTTTTTTTATTAGCTACACATGACATTACAATGATCTTGGAAATACATACACATTTGAATCATTGGGGTATAATTTCTCATTTTTCTGATTGTACAGATTGCAGAATCACACTGGTCATACAGTCACCTATATACATACAGCAATCATGAAGTCTATTCTATTCTGCTGCCATTCCTACCCGCCCTACTCCTCCCCTCCCCTCCCATCATTTTACATGTTTTCTTCATCTGGTAGTGTGATATTTTACCATAATGGATTTAGCTATCAATCCTTTTCTGTTCATTCTGCCCAGTGTTCAGTGGAACTTTCTGTCTCTTTTCAACTCTGGGAAATAGGAGTACAAGAAGTCTATCGGCTTATTCATTCATTCATATATGAATTAGAATTATTTCCCCTCTATTTGGTCCCCTTTCTTAGTCTTATCCTATTGTGTCCTCTTGAACTCAAAGTCAGCAGTCTCTCTGAGATTATGCCAAACAAAATCTTTGTTTCTTTCCTTTAGTGAAGCCCCTTCCAGTATGTCCTGAGCTATAGAATTCTTACTCTATACTGAATCTCCCAAGTATTCTGGAACCTTTCTGAAATATGTTATCTACTCACCCCTCCTGCTCTTCATCTTTTGGTGGCCAACCCGCCATCTTGAATCAGAGAACCCTCACTCTGAGTACTGAAAGCATTTGGATTAGTTCGTATTTTTATAAACTTTGCAGTCCTTTATTTTGCCCTAAACACATCCACCAAACTTAATCAAAGTGAAAAAACTAATTATGAATTAATTTGTCCATCCTTGTAGAGAGAGCAGTGAAATTCACAACTTGACTCCAAAGCTCCTTCTTGTAGTGGTTTATCTACTCAAAGGTCCCCTTTCTCTTTGCCCTCTTAGGTCTGTCTCTGGTAGAGGTAGGAAAGGTCAGTTTTTGAATTCCCTTCTATTCAGTATTTGTTTGTCCTCGGTAACCTTCCTTTGGGCAGGTTTTCAACTTCTTTTAAGACTCATTTTTATTTTTCCAGTCTAAGGACTCACCCTGCTGTACCCACTGGTCTTCTTGGCATCCTGGTTAAAAGAGTATGGCGGGTGTCCTGAGGGAATTGAGGAAACCTGGCTTTTTCTACTCTGAACTCTACCTGTGGCCTCATTTTTCTTCCTGACAGAGAGAAGGGGGCTGATACGTTCAGAGCTTCTCTAGTGATTCCCAGCAAGGACAAAGCCATCTTCCTCCTGAGTTATGAAGAACTTCTGCAGAGAAGGCTTGGGAAGTATGAGCACGTCATCAGTGTGCGACCCCAGCAGCTGGTTGGGAGACTGAACGTGGAAGTGAATGTTCTGGAGAGGTCAGGCATCACGTCCTTGGAGGTGCCCCCACTTCACAACAGCAGGCAGAAGGGAAGTGGGAGAGGGGAAGGTGAGTACCAATTGCTGGTTGTGCTCAGATCTTCTGGGTCAAGTCAGAGCTGCCACTAGGCACTCCAGAAGTCTGTAGAAGGAATGGCACCCCTTCCTCAAAGGCTTGAATTTTTGTGGAAATTGGAAAGATAGCAACAAAACAAAGACAATGGCTGGTACATTTTATTTTTTAAGGATCTGGTCTCTATCAGTAAATTAAAAGATGTTTTAAGTGTTTTTTTTTTTTTTTTTGACACAATAATCCCACTCTTGGGAATCTATGCTAAGGAAAACATTTAAGATTTTATTGGGCATAATCACATGCAGCAATCTGTGTGGTAACATTTATTGTAGCAAAAACATTTCATCAGCCTAAATATTCAATGATAAGAAGATATTAGTATAATACGATGGTAATCACGATTCAGCATGTGATGGGAGAAAAGATAAAACTGTACGTATAAATTTATATGCGCCTCTGGGCATGGTGATGTGTGCCTTAACCCCAGAAACTCTGGAGGCTGAGGCAGGAGGATCACAAGTTCAAGGCCAGCCTCAGCAATTTGTCGAGGTCCAAAGCAGCTTAGTGAGATCCTGTCACATCATCAAAAGGGCGGGGATATGGCTCAGTAGTAAAGTACCTCTGGGTTCAATCCCTAGCACCAAAAAAAAAAAAAAAAAAAATATATATATATATATATATATACACACACATACATGCAAAATTGTGCATATTGTAAAATATGTTAGTTGTGTTAAATAAAAGTTGAATAGAAAGTTTTATAAAATAACAATAGTTTTATGTTAGGAACATGGGATTGTAGGGTTGTTTTTAAAAATTTATTTTTAATCATTCAATTATGTTTTTTTTTTTTTTTACAATTAGATAATGAAAAATGTGTTTTGTAGGTGACAATTTCATTAGCAGGATCATTCAGTATAGGTTCTTCTCAAATTCTTATTTTTGAAAATGCATTTCATTTATTGAAAATATTATGAATCATTATTGTCTAATTTTAATCACTATTAATTACAACAAGTTAGCTTGTGTTAGATATTTACTTGCGTTGAGCTCTGTAGTTAATATATCAGTAAAGTTTATTGTCAAATTGGATGATGAGACAGATATATTAAAAAAATTTTAACAGATTTGGAATGACACGATTTCAGGCAATCGTGACATTGAAAATTGTGAATGACATTGGAAGGTAAGGAGAGAAATGACTAGATAAATGGAATAAAAGAATATAGGCATTTAACATTTTTCAAAATTATTTAAGGCCTAGAGCTGGTATAATGAAGAGCAAACAGAAGGAAAGTATGTTCCCCACCCCAGCCCACAGTTTGAAGACTTTATATTGAGAAGTCGTTCACCCTCAGGGACTGTGCATTCCCTGGCTCTGGGACACTCAGGTCCTTGTTGTGTGTTGACTCCAAACCCTGAACTTGATACCCACTGATACAGCAAAGCCATTGCCAGGGTCTCTGGCATTCAGAAATGGATTGAGATACAGCAGTCATTCTCATGTCATGTTGGTGGTAGTCATGTGGTTAGTGGATTTTAGCTCAGTTTTTGACTACTCGTGAAAAAACTACGGCACCCCTGGAAGCCAGCTTGCACACCCATACAGTGGGCCATGGCAAGGTGCATTGTATGTACAGCCTCTGGTCCAGAGTAGAGCTTGGTAACTGCTCAGGATTGTTTTTGTTGTCATTATTATGATCACCTTATATTTACTATCATTCTCTGCACATCTCACCCCCCTGTTAAAGCTCATAGGTGGCTTTGAAGCAGGCCTGTGCATCTCCTTGAGGGATTTAACCCAGTGCCTTTTACATAGCACATCACTGAGTGTTCAAATCAGAGAAGAAAAACCAAACAAATAGCCAGGAATGTTTTAAAAATTCATTTCTCTAATTGTAACTTAGAGGGCCAAATGACAGAAACATTTTTTTAGGGGAAAGACTACTCTCTGAGTTGGTACAGGGAGTGGGGTATCTGAAGTGCTCTGGGTGACACGGGGTCAGTGAATGTGCCTGTAGGAGGTTCTGAGGGCAGCTGTGCTAGTCAGCAATGTGTGTGCTTTTGCCTAATTTTCTGAACCACCGTGATTCTTCATAGCTGTGTACATTTTGTAATGTATATGTATATGTGCGTACATGTTGTGTGCATGTGTGTGTGTACATATTGTGGTGCATATGTGTGTACATGTGTGTATAAATGTGGTGTGTGTATGAATGTGTTGTGGTGTAAATGTGCATGCATGTGTGTGTGTGTACATGTTGTGCTATTCGTATGTGTGTTATTCTTGGAGGGGGTAATGAATTGCAATTGTTGTTTAAAACATTGCTCACTGTTTACGTTCAGGCCCTGTTAGAATTCACAGGAGTTTTTCCAGACCATTGATCTCTTGGGATCTGTTTATTTATTTATTTTTTAAATTGTTTTTTTAGCTCTTCATACCCAGGCAGATACTTTGCCTTCCAGAACGTGGTGGTTTCACAAGTGCATCTCAGAGCCAGGTGCAGTGGATTGATTCCCTTGTTGCTGTTCTTCATTCCCATCTTTTTGAGCTCAGCTGTTATTTTTCTTGCAAAATGGTAGCCCCAGCAGTGTGAAGCACAGGATGTTGTGATTTTTGTCTGGACAGTGTTGCATGTTTCCAAAAGAAATACAGGGTAGAGATCAAACTGGGGGTTGGGCCTGCACCAGATCACGAGCTGTAACTGTGTGAATGTGCTCCAAGGCAGAACATGACTCTGGTAGATCTGGCTGTGGTTAAGAAATCAAACTTCTGCAATTTGTCTAAGCTAACCTCTGACCAGTGGACCTGGCTTCATCTTGAAGGCTGCATCTGGATGGGGTTACTGTGTGTGGTACTAGACTAAGCACTTGGCATACATGTTAGCTCATTCCGTCTTTTTATAAGACCCTCTTAGATCAGGTTCTTTTAATCCTCACTTGATTTATGAAGAAACTAAGGATTGACGTGGTCCAGCTATATGGACAGTGTCTCATACTTGATTATTAATGGAGACAGAATGTAAACAGATCCATCTGACTCCAAGTTCATGCCCTTAGCCATTGTACTGTACTATATTCTCACTGAACAGAATATTTTAAACTTCTGGGGCATGAATCCAAATTCCATATCTCTTCCCAGTTAAATTTAAACATTTTTTAAGGTTAAAAGCAAGATGATCGGGCTGGGATTGTGGCTCAGCAGTACAGCACTCACCTACTATGTGTGAGGCCCTGGGTTTGATCCTCAGCACCACATAAAAATAAATAAATAAAATTGTTGTGTCCAACTACAACTAAAAAATAAATATTAAAAAAACCAGCAAGATGATCTATCTTTGCCTCAGTTTCCTTGCTAGATGAATCAGAATTGGATCCACATCTATTGAATTATAAATTAACAAATCCTTTCTCAATGTAAAAGTTAATTGAGATAATTTGGAAACTAAAACATTATAATTTCAAGATTATTAAAAGAGTTAATATATGTGTAAATTTTCACTATGACAGATCCATAATGACCAGTGGTTAGATAAATAAAATAAAGTGAGAAGTAAGAGACCTTACCTGTTTTAGTCCTCATTTGGCTTTACATCAGTGACTCTCAAACTTGACTTTTTCTAATAGTAACCTTGAGAGGTTGAAAAATAAATCCAAATGGCCAAGCCCACCCCAGCTTAGGTGAATTAGTGTTGTTGGTGCGGGGAGGGAGATAGTTTCTAGGGAGCTGTATTTTTAGGTTGCAATTCTGCTTTTACATGAATAACTTAAAAATTTATATGGACTTTAAAAATTTTTAGTGATTCATAAAGTAAAAGAATAATGCTGAATATTTTTCTGCCTCTCTGCAGGTATGGTTCTAATGACTCCATCCTTTATAGACCTTTATAACATTTGCCCATTTTAAGTGCAGGGTTCAGTGCTTTTTAGTACATTTGCAGGTGCATCAACAGGTATAAGGATAAATGAAATGTGGAATATGGACATGAGGAATATTATCCAGGCATGAAAGAAAGGAAGCACAAATTTATGTTACAATATGGACCTTGAAAACATTATGCGAAGTGAAAGAAGCAGATTCAGAAGGTCACAGGCTGTACTATTCCAGTTATTTGAAATGTCCAGAGTAGGCAAATCCACACACACAAAAAGCAGATTGGAGGTTGCCAGGGCTGCGGGGAGGAAGGAATGAGGAATGATAGCTTAATGGTTGTAGAATTTTTTTGGTGGTGGTAGAAATGTTCTGGAACTTAATAGAGGTGGTGAATGTACAATTTTATGAATATACTAAATGTCACCGAATTGTACACCTGAAAATGGTTATTTTTGTTGTTGTTGTTCTGTGAGCTTCACCTGAGTTTAAAGGAAAGGGTTGTATCCTAGATTGTGATACCTTCTCTCTCCATGCCCTGGAAGCCAGTTTCTTGTGCTCTTGGGCACTTAGCTGTGCGTCATTTACATGCCTGGGAAAGCAAATGATCAGAGTAGGTGGAACTTGATGTGTGGCTTGCATTTTAATCATATCACCCTGATGTACTCTGTCTATAAAATTTTGGCTTTCACATAATCCTTAACACCGAGAAAGCTTAATGAGCACAAAGGGAGGTACTGGCAACAGCTTCATTACTCTTTGTTGGAAGGTGAATGTAAAGAAAGACGCTACAGCTGTCCTGAAAAACAGGCCACATTCCCCTGCAAGATCAAGTCACCACTGACCTGAGATGAACACAGTGTCTTGCACTTCATAGATGCCTAATGAGGAGTTGAATAGAATCTGTTTCAAACTTTTACTTATGTCTTTCTTTAATACCTTCACACCATGGCTCTGTGCTGTCAGGGCTCTTTGGGGGCTGTATCCTCAGACCCCTAAGATTGTGTCTGGGATACAGTAAGTGCTCAATAAACGTTTGTTCAATGAACCAAGGGCTAAATAATTATTGACAATGAAAGTGCTACTGGGTTTTCAACCCTTTCCTGGCTTACCTTGGTGAATTTTG